AAAGATAAGATTGCTGTTTCGATTAGCTATCAGTGTCCGCTGATAAGTCCTAATTGATGTCGCATATTCGCTTATCGCAAAACGTTTATATTTATGTAAATAAAAATTAAATATCGTTAATTGATTCATATCGATCGTTTGCTCGTTTATCGGACTAATTTAAATTCTTTGCTCATTTACATTCGCTAAAGTAATACTTAGGGTAGGGCACCCCAAATTTTATATATTATAATTTTGTGAAATCAGTAAGTTAAAAGATTTGTTCACATGATATTCTTGTTTTTATTAGCTGATGTAATATAAACGTAATTTTAACATGGGAAAGTTTTTCAATTTTAAAATTGCGGAATGTATTATTGAATTTGTTTTATCTCTCTCCTATTTGTGACAGTTATAATTCTATTTAAATTTCGTTGCAAATTCAAAAGAAATGAAGAAATTGTCTTTCTGTGATTATATTTTGTTAGAAACGTTTGCACATATATGTGAAAAATTTGAAGTTACATTGATTCCTTATCAAACTTTAATTTGATATTGTTTAACGATACGATGGTAATTATCGATACATCTGTTTTTGATAAGTGTGTATATTTATAATAAAAACATATTCATTTATATTATTTTTTCGTTACTTCTAATTAGCATGATTTCGTAAAACAATATTATGTTTAATATGACTGATAACAGAAATGCGTATGAATCACTGTAGGTTTGTTTATCAGACGGATTGTGCATGGCGATTTTATTGGTATAAATAGGTTAATGAAATGGCTATTTTATTACTGCGATAAATAATCGTCGTTATTAACCATCATCGTCATTAACTACGTCGCTCCACTTTAGATTAACGAGTGATAATGGCAAATGAAACCATATAATTGATTTATAAGTTTTCCATTAAAGTTACGTGCGAAATATTATCGCATCTTGATATATTTCATTATCCCCTTTATCAGTTTGGATATGTAATTCGCACAGATATACAATTCGTTCAATACTATACAATTCAATTAACGAAAATCATTAATTTTCTTTACACAGACATTTTTTTTTATCATTCTTGCTTTATTATTCCATCTTACCTTTTTATCCGTACGTTTATTATCTTGTTACATTAACCGTATTGTCGTATACGCGATATGAGTACGACAATATATAAATTTTTATTATATACTTTCATTGAAACTTGTGTAACAAGATTTCATAGAAGATGTCTTCCATTGCTCGTTTCTAGCTATCATTTCAAATGCGGAAATTAATCGCGCGATTTCAATAATCAGTTCGGACGATAAGTTTTTCACGACGTCGTCGTGCTCGGGACAATTACGCGAGCTCTGTTCCGGAGGGTGCAATTATGCCGTTTAACGAATATCATGGCGTCTTTCGACTCGATGGCCCATCCTCCCTATCCGGCGTTTGACCTCCTCTCCGTTCCCTACCCACCACCTTACGTACTCCACCAGGGAAGTCCTATTCCGTAATTAGAATCTCCCAGCCCCCTAGGAGGCTTCGCGACCGACTTCGCCCCCTCACCGGCCATTACTTTTAATGGCGTTGTTAATGAAACTAGGTGTCGCCAAATTAACCTCCCATTCCAGCTGTGCTCAACCGTGAACGAAAGCATTGCGCGGAAAGACGTAATTAAATTTCTCTAATTATGTTGCCGTATGATTATCGCCGATAATAGACTGCTGCTTTGCGGATCACTTTTGATAGACTTTTCATATAAATTTGCAGAATATGATAAGAGAAAGCTTTCAAGATTTTAAAGTAATACTTTTTTGAGGCTTTTATCTCAATTATCTTCAACAGTAATTGACATGTATTATGTATAAATATATACAAGAGAGAAATGTAAAACATTAAGTATTCGTATTTATATCGCACTTTTATCGACAAATGCACGCATTTAACATATAATTTATGCTCACATTTATTGATAAAAGTGAAAGATAAATACGGATCATAATAATTAAAATAATAAAAAGCGACTGTGATATAAAAATTAAACAACGATCACATTTTAAAGCTCATATAGACAGAGCTTAAATTCTAAAATTTAATTAAAGGTATATATGATCATTTAATTGAATGTTATAATGTTATATTGTCGAGAATTTGTGATTGAAGAATAGTTTATAAAAATAAAATTTTAATCATTGGAAAATCTTGCTCTTTCTCTCACAATTTCTATCGCGTTGTAGTATTACAGATCCACGAAAACATGAGTCTCATAATTGGAGGAAACCTATCTGGTTTCGAAATGGTTTTCTGCAACTACTTAGATTCTTCCAGACTTCATCTCTCGAGATTGTGCTTGAATTCGAGAGCGAGGTGTTTACATCGGCGAAGTTTTACTGCACTTTTCATTCTCTTGAGAGATACGGGACAGTATTAAAAAGTATAAATGTTTTCGCGCGATACGATGTAACACGACGAGCAGTTTGGGAGGAACTTTTGCTTGTGGCTAACGTATTCGATCGCGGCCCGAAGGAGAATATGATCGGCAGGGCGGCCGGAGAAGGTTTGAAAACCACTGGTCCAGGCTGATTATCGCGGTAACCACCCCCCGAGCGCCAATTAATCTTAACTTTTACGGGGCAAACACTTTTCATTAAGCCCGCCTCTCCCGCCGGCGTCGGCGTCGGCGTTTCGTCGTCCCTTCGCCGCCATCCCCCTCCCTCGTTTCTCGCAGCCTCAGCTGCCCCCGCAAGTCCCCCCATTTTTCCTGTCCCCTCTCCCCCTCATCGTCTCGCTACGCCGCTCATCCTCCTTCGGCTACGGTGAGGAACGGCAAGGAAAATGGCTCCCCAGACAAGCGTTTAATCTGGCTCTAATTAGCAACTTACCCTCCACCATTGCTCTCGCTTTCTCCCTTCTTCCACCTCTCCCCTTCCTGCATCGGGGTAGGTGCACTTCTCGCGCATTCTCTGTGACCAATCCCGTTCTCTTTCTACTTCTACCGAGGACAGGAGCGGATAGATACGGTTTGGATCCTAAAGTGTGAAAGAGTTAAAATATACCTCTTTTTTTTTCTTCCGCCGATTAACCTCAAGAGTGCCAACTTCTCTTCTCTCGACTCTTTTTTTATTTTTTAATTAATGGAATGTTTGTGTTTTAGGATCATTTATGAAATATAATTAAATATTGCAAAATACACATTCCAAGAGATTAAAAGCACTGTAATGATAATTTATGAAACGAAATTAATTAAATTACAAATTGACTTTGAATTATAAAATTGTAGTCTTTTTCAATTATATTTCTTTAAAAATATCTTAGCACATATATATATAATATTTCTTATTATCAGAGGCGCATGTCAAAACTTTCGAGTTATCCTGCGTTGGGAATTTATGGGCAAATGGATAGATGGTAACCATTTTTGCAGATTGTCGATAACAGAAGGTAATTTATCGACGTTGAAGCGAAATACACTTTCTACATGCACGTATCTATGATCACGAAAGATTGAAGGAAACTGTGTTATATTTGTTGTAAACAAAGATTTCTTCTACAGATTTTTAAAGAATTAAAAGTATTAAAATAAATCGAAAAGTTTATCATGAATTAATAACATGATAGCAAATATATGAGCTATGTTTATTACAATAAAAGAAGAATTTATATGTTAAATTTGTCGAAAAATCGATAAAATTAAACAAAGGTATTAATACTAAGAAATTTATTGCAAACGAGATTTTCTACATATCTTTCTTCCTATTTTTTAATTGTTTTTAACTTTTTCATACATTTTACTTAAAAAAGAAATTTAAAACAGGATGTCACAAGTATAGACTCACTGCTTGAAAAAAATCTGTTGTACCAAATTAAAAAAAATCAAATCATATATATTATTTGTGTAAAAGATTTGATCAATAACCGGCGCCAAGTTTCCATTATATTAATCTATTACCTAACTCAACGTAAATGATATGTATTGTACTTCCAAGTTTTCACTCAAAAATAATTCTGTTTTAACTCATATAGAAGTATCTATTTTTTTTTGCTTTAACACTATTTAAAAATAATATTTAAAACTTTAATGCATGGCACAAACATATTTTTCTGTTTGGAGCAATTTTAATCTTATTGATTGTACTTTTTTTGATGATTTTTATTAACCACATGTTTTCTATAATGTTCGGATACGATTAGTAAATTACATTACATGAGTAGGGTAGATAAAAGTATTATTATTTTTCCCAAGAAATTTGCTTTTTGCGATCATCTTGCAATCACTTTGTAATTGCCATTTTCTAGTTGATATTCTCAAAGAATCATCTTTTCTACCATGATTTAATTTACATTCAATCGCGGAATGCATGCTTGAAGCAGATAATTAAGCTATCTGCTCTAAGCATTCCTGTTGGCAAAAGAAAACGTATATGTTGAAATGCCGGGTATGAAAAATGATCGATAGAGACTCATATCTTTTAACGATCAGATAAAGCTTACGAGCTAGATAACCAGATAACACGAAGGTAAATGAATTTTCAAATATAAATGGAAGAGACACCGATAAGCGTTTCAAATGGGACGTATTTCGCAATCTCTTCAGAAGAAGAGATTGCGATCTGGGCGCGAAATACTGCTGGATGTTGCAGACGGTGCAAAGCTATCTTGTGAGTCCTAATAAGTTTCTATTGACAAATGATAAGAAAACATTGCTTATACATATCTCGAATGCAAGAAGATGCAAATGAACATCAAAAACGAAAATAATAGATTTCATAAATCTTATATTTTGAGTCAAAATAAATTTTTTTAATACATTCAAAATACTTATTATTTCTTGAATTCTTATAAAACTTCTTATATAACATGAATTAATATTATAAAAAAATTATGTCAATAACATTTATCGTATTAATAAGACGAATATTTCTAAATTTGGAAACATCTTTTCGTATATATGTATGTATGACAATAAATTATTTAATACAAGTAACAACAACAAAGCTTTAAGCTTAAATGATGTTTATATTAAATATCTTTACTTATTACTACTAATTAGCATCTCAAAAACTTCACGTTGCTAATTAATCATTGGAATACATCAACTGTAATTTTTGATTACTTTTTTTATTGCTAATTTCGAACATACTGAACGATTTTCGTACGATAACGCTTTAAAAAGCATTATGATTTTTGGCACTTTCGAAAGAGTGCCTAATTCTTCATAATCGAGCACGATTGTAAAAGTCTTTAAAAGCATAATAAGACTTTGGTAACTTCACGTCTTTATATCTTCTTTCTTCTTTTTGTGCTCCTTCTTCCTTTTTTTCAAGTAAAACAATTCGTCCTTCGAAGGACTGAAGCTCCTCCGCTTTAGCTCATAACTTTATCGATCCAGGGCACGAATTTCTGAATATTGGTATACACACCGGGTAGGTGTTCGCGACCGCAACCGATGCCCCAGGAAACCAAACCGATCAGAACGTGTCTGCCTTCCACCGACATTGTGAGCGGTCCGCCAGAATCACCCTATTACAAGTCAAATTGTAAACAGTGTTCTAATTGCACATGTATTTAGCTAATAGTGAATTAATCGAATATTTCTTGGAGGATTCTATTTTGATTGATTACCTGACAAGAATCTCGCCCGCCTTGTCTATATCCCGCACAGAGAAATACATCATGTATGGTTTCTCTTCTTCCGGCTGCTCTGAACCACTTTTGACATTTATCATTCGGTATTACCTAAATAAAAATATATAACATACATACACATGTATATATACACATATAAAAATAATTAGGAAAATTATTTATCGTGTAGTTAAATAATACTACGAACATTATATGCATAAGTAATAATTGATTAATATGAATTTACCTATGGCAAATAAATTTTTCTTATACGATTTATCAATATTAGAATTAATTAATTAACACAAAAGAAATAAATTAATATAAAACATCGCAAAAATAGTTTACAGAATTGTGTTGTACGGTACATTGCATATTATTTTTATTGCACATATTTTAGCTGAAAAGACGAGTACAAGTTATCATCAAAGATGAGTACGTTGGTTGATAGTGTACTTACCTCAACGTCGACTTCTTGAAGAACGGATGGCGCCGAAGTTTGACCATGTCTGGTTCGTCCCCAACCAGCGACAGTTGCGGTTCGGCCGGAGAGCTTCAAATTCCTCGCCGGCAGGCAAACCGGGACGATGTGCTGCTTGAAAGCTACCATCCGGGACAGCTTCACCAAAGCCACATCGTTTCGAAAGTCGGTAGGAGAATATTGCGGGTGTATCTATTGTTATTTTGTTGTTTTAACGTAATTATTATTAAGTTATCATGCTTTTTATTGGTAGACAGGCGTGATAAAATAAGTGTGTATTTTGAAATTTATTTTTAAATTATTTTTAAATTATTTTGAAATTTATTTTTTAATATTATATACTTCTCAATGCGACGTGGAATTCTTGGACGTATACTGTTGAATCAATAAAATTTAAAATATTAATATTTAAAGGAAGAACCTCTTTTCTCTCGATATTAAATTCTTCATGGACAAGCCGTTCTGTCTGGTCTCGAACGTCCCATTCCCCGAGTCGAACTTTCAAATTGTTATTTGGTGTTCTGACATAAAAGATATGCATATATCAATATTTCTATCGTACTAAACCGTTGACAATAATAGTCAATACTAACGTCGCGACGCAGTGTGCCGCTGTGACCACCCATCGATTATTCAGCAAGGCGCCGCCGCAAGACAGCTTCTTACTTTGTAAGAATCCTGACTTAAGAATAGCGGCCTGCAACAAAGAGAACCTATTTAAAGGCCTATTTACAGTCGCGTTACATGAAATATGTATCCGAGTCCGCGTCACGGCTCGCGGCTTTTAGAGAAGATTTAATAGATTATTTTCCTCCCTCTCCGCGCTAGGCGAACCGAGCAAATTGATGAATAATGCAGAGGAAAGGAAGAGTGTGTCACGAGGGCCGAGCGAGAGATATGTTTATAACTAAGTCGAGGAAACGGAGAGAAGAAAATTGTACGAGAAGGATTTTACCTGCCACGGATGGCTACCGAAACTAGACGAGTGTCCACCTACGATCCTGTTGCTCCTCGTGTAGAGTTCGCCACAGCCTGAAAATATGATCTGTGTTAGCTATTGCAAGACCTCAATACGCGTTCAAGTGAAAATGTTCGATGTGTTGGTGATAACACGGGATAACACGTAATGATGCAAAAGTGATTTGGGGATCAACATATGATCGAAGAGATAATATTTGTGCGTGTCATAGAAGAGAAAATGAGACTATAGCGATGCAGAAGATAAGCTTACACTAAAAATTTATTAACTGATACTTTCTACAATTATCTGCAATTAAACTGGTACCTAGGTGTCTACTTTAGAAGATTCTTCGCGCTTTGGTGAAAGACAGAAAGCAGAAAATAGACATGGCACGCAGTGTAGAAAGTTCGCGCGACTTTAGGAACTCTGTTTATTATCACAGATTATATAGAGATACATTATCTACAATTAATCGTTGCGAAATTTTCTTAGTGATTTTGCCTAAAAAGATACGAATATGAAGTATTCATTACATAATTTTACACGTGTAATTAGTCATTTTACCTATTAGATTTTTAATTTCAGATTTTGAATTTAACGTGCAATTCAATAATATATTGAATTTAACATGCAATCCAATAATATATACATATACATAGCTATACATTTAAAAATTGTATGTTAAAGTTAAAATCAATTTTGATATTCTAAAATATTCTGTCTCATATTCCTATCTTGTATTTCAATGTTTAAAAGAACCTGAGAGGACTGTTAAAATATAATTTTCTTCTTTATTCCATACAGTTGCTTCATACAGTTATCCAGTCTCCTATTGTCTTCCTTGTTTTTCGTCTTTTCCGTTTTATCTTTCCTTTTCGGCCAATCACTTTTTATTTTAGTATCTCTCATTTTTTTCTCCAAATTTAATTTCTCGATTGTTTCCCGGCAATACTTTGTGCAAAAAGATGTGCGATGTGATGATGAAAGCATTTTTGTGCGGTTTCCATGCGAAACATTGTATGCGTGTTTAAATACTGTCTCCGTCATTCGGGATCCACCGTAGATCAATTTGATTATTATTATTAATCTGGTATATTTAGTAATAAATATTTTGTATCGTCTCGATGTCCATCCATTTTATGAAATTCGTCCAGTTCGTCTCGTATCTTTCATACTGATTTTCGTCGAAACTGTAATTCTTTATATTTTTTAAAATCAGCACTTTCATTCTCGATATCAATAAATTATATCTGATATCTGGTCTAATAATTATCTGTTGATATTTGTTGGTATAAATCACGCAATATCACCGCACACAAACTTATAATCCAGTATGATTAGAATAAATTGATGTCTTTTCAATCGATCGCGACAGTCAACATCGAGCATATTCAATAATCAAGTGCATCTAAGAGACTCGCAAGGTCTCAATTTCTTGCAAATAAAATTGATAGCAATAAACATAAAAAGCAGAAGGTCGACCAGGCATGTTGAAGCGATATAAGTTTTAACTGTAAAGAATACAATTTCGAGGTGAGCTCAATTTCCCATACTACAGAGACACGGCGGGATTCTTGCGTGTCTGTAATCTTCGGAATCTGAACTCACCGAGGTTTTCAGTGAGTCCTCCGACTCGTGCGCTTGACACATATCGTGCGACACTCGGTGCAATAATCTGTGTGCATTCTCATGCGATTACCACGGTATCTGGAGTAGTCCATGACGTTGGACGAGTCCTCGATTGGGCCACCGGAAGCGGCAGGCGAATAGCCGCCGTCGTACTCGTCCTGTGGATAATCCTGAACTGTGTGATACGGACGAGTGGTGAACGTTGGTCGGTTGTGGCTGACTGCGAGATCGTTCGGCCGATCGTGGTTCCAGATCGCGTAAGATGAATCGTAAATGTTGGTTGGATTATTGACGCCACCCACATACGTGGGCCGATGGGTCTCATGGCTGTGCGAGGGCCTGCTGGGCCTAATCGCGCTGCCGTAAACGTGCACGTCGTCGTCCACGTATGGCTGTTGGTGCCCGAGATTTAGGGTAAACGCTGGGCAACGTAACGATGTCGCTATTAGCTACTCGGAATCACTCGCGTTGTGGCTCTGCGGCCAAATTTAAGGTTGTATATGTCATATTTCAAAACATTACAAAAAAATATAAAAATTTCGTAGATATTATTTTATTGTATGTCTGAGTATTTGTGTAAAATTTGATCTTTGAATATCTGTATAGAATTTGGTTTAAAAGTTATTTAATTTTTTTGTTCCCTTTGATTCCTATGTATGCGTTTTGATAGTAAGGGAAGGTCACTGATATACCATTTTGTTTTTAGATAATATTTCTTAAACAAAAGGTAAAAATACAACTTCAAAAACATAAATACAAACTAAAAAGTGTCTTCTATCAGATAGTGTAAGGAGTTTTTATAATACTGTTTGCAAGTTTGCAATAATTAAGTTTTTCGTAAGTTATGCAAAAATGAGCGTCTGACAAAATGGACTCCAAAACTGACATAAGCAATAATGCCAACATTCCTATTCTATAAATAAAGATATATCCTATTCTGTAAAGAAAACTAATTTATGAAACTATAAACATTTAAAATGACATAATATTATCAATAATACAGTCACTATTATTTTAATTACGCAATTTGCAAAAGAACACCGTAAGAATCTTCTTCTCGGATTCATAGAATTTGTTTTTAGCTGATTTGGTATAGAAATAAACAAATATATGAATTATGAGTTTGTACTTCTTTAATTAGCTAAACAGATCGCGTTTTTATTAGTACTAATAAGGTGCAAACGTTAGTTTCTAAGAAATAAGGGAATGTCGCTTTAAGAGACCTAGAGATCGATGAACTTCCTTTACTTATTTGCAAATTTGATAAGGTCGTAGAATTACGAATTAATCAAATTTTTTATATGCGTATATTAATAAAACTATGTACACTAATAAATGTTTGTGCAAAAATTTATTTGGATTTACTTATGTTCAAAAGTTATTCACTTAAAACTGCAAAATATAGTCATTTTGCTCCATAAAGCCATTGTAAGCCAAATTATTTATTGTTTTATTTTTTGCAGTATGATTTTCCGGACATATTTATAGCAATTTTTGAGCTAATTTAACTGATATTGACTTTTTTTACCTGATTTTTTGGTTAATACTTTCAATCGAGATTGTACAATCTTAAGTCCTATCACATAGTGATTATTATAATTATGCTTTATGTTATTAGCTGATATTTTAATCACTGCAGTTAAAGACTGTCAATTTTTAGAATAAATCTATTTTAGAAATAAATATAGAACATTATTATGATACTAATAATGTTATAATAATAATAATATTTTTTCCACTTTCATTATTTTCTCTAATTATTCATTGCAACCAGGAAATACAATCGGGGTATTCATTATGTAATTTTGTCTCTTGGACGGAAATGTGAAAAGTGAAAATTTTTATCATTGAAGTTAATGGAGAAATTTTTCACTTTTTACGTTTCCGCCTTAAGGAAAAAGTTACGTGATCGGTACTTAGACAAAACCATGTACTGTAAAATATATAATGAGATATAGAATATACATATAATATAATATAAATATATAATGAGGAAGAGAGAGAGAGAGAGAGAGAGATGAAAACAAATGTAAAAGAATAAAATTAATGTCATAAGAAAATATAATATAATATTATACAATTTGTAATTGTCTTGTTCTGTCGGTGACATCGTTTCCTCGCCTGTTTCTATTTGTGCCATTGTATTGATAGTTACGCGGTTACGGTGAGCGACTTGCGGAAAGCACTCTCGCGTAAAGTTTTACGGGCGTGCAACGCGATGCCGTCGCGTAAACTAGGTGTGAATAACTGTATTTGAAAGTACTGGCCGTACTCTGTCGCATCGTTGGTACGCGCGCGACACACTAGCTAGACGCTGTTGGTTGTGTAATTTCGGATGTCGGATAGAAATCAGGTTACTTCCAGCCGGTGTCTCCTTTCAGTTCATGATTATCAAGCGTTCTCAACCTTCTCGCGATCTAATCTCATCTTGATCCTTAACATTAATCTGAAAAAGTAACGTTACATCTCCTATTCCGTTAATTATAATATCATTTGAATTTTCTTTGCGCTTCTTCACTAAATATGATCCGAATCTCCCTTATACTGCACGCAGGGAGTATACATCGAATGTGTTATTTTATCGTAATCGTCACGAAATTTGACAATTTAACTGTAAAATTTAAAAGCGTTTACGGAAATTCCTCTCAAGCAAATGACGCTAACAGCGCGATACAGTCTCGAAGTCTCGGTTCAGAAACTCAGTTTAGTGACATTGGAGAACACGGACCTTCTTTCAGGATGTCGCAAATTTACAGCGGCATGACGGTAGATAAAAGGACCTCACGAGTTAATTGAGAGACACACATCGTTGAATTAAAAACTCTTTCTTCCTTGAGAAAAACATATGACATTTTCATTGTCTCCTCCATCCTTAAATAGTGGATTAACCCTTTTGGTTTGCTTAAATATACTATGCGATATCGTTTAAATTAATATAATTAAAGTACTTTAAAAAATAAAACGTTTTTAATGTAGAAGAAAGATCTTCTACATTAACAGACAAAATCATTAGAGAAAAACGTTTTTTAAATAAAATATTATTAAATTAAATTAATTAAACTTGATACATATGAATCTGTGAAGAGTTGTTAGCACGATATCCTAAATTAATATAAAAAAATAATGACAGTTCCAGTAGCACTCTTCATAGTTCTACAGTTTCTTATAAAAATAAAGAGTTCCGCATTTTTTATACTAAAAACCAAAATTAGTACATCATATTTTCAATTTTGATTTTTTTAGTGCAGAACTCTTTTTTATGTTTATAAAGAACTATAAAAAGTGCTACTGGCATTATATTTTATATATTAAGAGAATATCGTGCTTACTTTACAGATCCAACACATATGCTTTTTTAATATATACATATATATTTGGGACATATGTAGTTTTACTTTAGTACGAGAAAACTTACTGGCATTCTGTAACAGACCCACAGTCGGTCGCGGTACTTTTTCGGGTATGTCTTCGTCGTCCACGCAGCAGCTCCATAGTAAACCTCCGGAACACAGATCGACTGGTCGACCACCATTCATAACGCAGCTAATGCTGAGGCCGCACTCAAACCTCGCACCTTTGTACTTGCACGTTTGCGGTATCACTGAAATAGATTCCACATGTCAATTAATATCTATACATATAGAGTGTCGCACGTTTATCGATATTTTAATAGTAATATTAAATTATTAATTTATTATTAATGGGATTATTTTCATATTAATAGAGAAACGATTAATAAATAAGAATTTTGATTAAAAAATAATTTAGTCAAGAATTTGTCTTGTAATAAAAAACATTTTATAATGAAAATCTGTTGTGATATCGATGATATTTGTTTATTTATTATCACGCAATTGTAATTTTAATTTCACTCTTTCGTATTTAGCGCCAATATCAGTTGTCATGAAATGAATCCTGTGCAATTGCTCGTATTAATAATTTACGTGTGATTGATGATGTATTTTGTAAATAGTAGGAAATCTGATATTTCAATATCTCATTTTACAAACTCTTGAAAATATCAGATATAAAATGTTGAATTATCTGTCTCCCTATGTTCTTTTTATTTATTCATTTAACCATTTCATATAATAATTTATTTCAGTTATAATTTACGACCTTGTATCATTTGATAAATTTATGAAATTCATTTTCAAGATTGATATATTTTATATTTAGTTAAAAGCGCACTTCTAATCTTTTTTTATATCCTATTTTTGTCCCATTTTGAATCCTACATACTTCTGCCCAACATCTCTATTAGGCTGCTCTGGAGATTGGAGTTATGTCCTCGATGATCATTGGTGTAGTTTCGCTTCTTTCTGAGTGTCTCCACTAGCAAGGCACCTTGCTGCTTGCTGGTCAACTTCCTCCCTCTGCCCTGTCGATGTCCGTCTAACATTTCCTCGTGCGCTCCATTTAATCTCTTTTGTCTGATTTCATTCAGTACTTCTTGGATATTTATTTCCTCTTCCTCTTCGCTCTGTGAGTCCTTTTCGAATGTTTCCTGCTCGCTCCAATCCATTTCTTCTGTATTATGATTTAAAAAACGATCTTGAGTATCTTCAGAGAACATAGAATTCTTTGGATGATCCGTGTTCTCCAATATGGCGTCAGTGGTTCCATCACCGCTGTACGGAAAATTCGAAAAGTGATATTGTTCGACCTTGGACGGTATGCCTATCACGTTTTTCAGGTTGCTCTCGATGGCTCGATTCTCACGCGTGAGATCCTGTCTCGTTCTGGCGGCTTCGGGTTTCCAGAGATCGTGATGCTCATTCGAATCATCGGCCATCGTGAATCTTCTCGGTGCGTTTTGGAGAACATTGTCCTCGCGCCGATTTAACCTTCTCGATGGGTATGTATCGGACCGCTGTAGACGAGTTTCTTTAACTTTGATCGGTATAATCGATCGGCTTGCAGTTGCAATTTTACAATCCTCCCTGTGTTTCCACGAATAAGTATCATGGTGATCGAAAGCGGTCGCCACGGTGATCAGAAGCACTCCAAGCGCGAGCTTCATGATCGACTTTGACTTCCGCTTGTGTCACTTCGAGGATACCTTGCGTATCATCGCGATCTCACTGCACACTTGCAAGTTAAAAGGGGCGCACTACGATGTGGATAATTCACGAGTCCATTTCCTTCTCCATTAACGACGATCGATGAAGAACAATATAGAGATCTCACACCTGAAGACTAAATCAAGTTTCTCCGAAATTATTCGAAGAGAAACTTGACTTAGTTGGAAGCTGTAAGTCAAGTTTCTCTTATGAGATTCGACTAGTTGAAATTTCACTTGCAAAAACGTTTGAGGAATTAATTGGCACACCATAAATTTCTTTGAAAAAGCTAGCTTGTTCTTATTTCATGTGAACAATAAACTTTCAACTTTGAACAAAATCTCAGAATACACTTAATTAGATTTGGTTACTGATTAATCCCGGATTGTAAATCCTTAATCTTGAACGTAGCAAATGTGATTCATGGTCGAATTTCTTTCACAATTTCTCTCACTTTGTCGAAGGCTTTCGCGAGAGTCACGGTATTTCGAACGATTTTAGAATCCCAAAGCACTGTGTAAGCACCGCCATTTTGATATCACTGGTTTTCTCTTGCAATAGTTTCGATTTATCGTAGAAAATTTTCTATAGAAGGTGGCAGGAGACGCAGCCTTCTCTTGGAGACCGTTGACGTGTATGTATTATCGAGAGACAATGCCAAAAGGTTAAAGGCGCCTTATGACACTTCACCGGAGTGATGGTGAGAAGCCGTGATAATACGCGTCTTCTGCACGTGGACTGGCTTAAACCGATGTCTCACGAGTCTCGATCTAAGAAGGCGTCCACTGCTTTCACCGGCATCAGCTTTCCCGCAACGGCGGTGTCGTCCCTTGGTCTCACATTGGTTCCCCACCTTCACCATCAGAATATATCGTGGTGTTGTATCTTATTTTCCATTTCTTTCTTCGTTGAATTATTATGTCGCCGCGAAATTGTCGTACTCTGAATAGCTGGAAAATTTTATCAAGATTCGGGCCAGTCGCCTCGTGAAAACGGAAAACCGAGATAGTTATTTTTATAATATTATATATTCTTTGTTGAATCGTTTAAGTTATTTTGTTTTATCATATTTTATTTCTATATATTCAAATGAGGAGATTAAAAAAATTGTGAATTTTTATTCGAACTTTTCACTGTTATTTTGTTGATTTTATTTCTTCATTAAGATTTTTTTTATAGTTTTATCACAGTGACGAATGATCATTGGGAAGAATGATTAAATATTTTCTGTTTCTCATCAAATTTTAGTAAACAGATTTATTAAAAATAAAAAATTCTAAAAATAAGTAGCATAAGAGTTTTATCATAAATAAAATATATAAGATCGCATATAATTTCAAAAAATCGACGCTGTGGCGGCTATTCGCTAAAAATGGCCATTTACATCGAATAGGTTCGGTAGACTAAGATTTCGTGACCCAATTTTATCGCTTCACTGACAGCGTTTTTACTATTAAGTTTACTTAAAAAAGAGTAAATAGCGATTAATATTCGGACTAATATCTTTCATGAAAATGCGAATTTTTATTTTTAATAAAAATATTTAATTTTTATTTTTAATTTTTATTTTTAATTTTTATTTTTAATAAAAATTAAGTAGAACTTAAATCGTGTTGCTAAATTTCTTATCAAAGATTGAATTAAGTCCAATTAAAATTTGAAAACATTACTCGTGTAATTCAATAATTCAGCTAGGAAGTATCAGGTATCGTTTTCAATAAAAGGAAAAATATCATCTTCAAACGCTCATAACAACAGAGAAGAGGTGCGCTGAGGTCGCAGTGAAAACTGAGCTTCCGTGCGCTTCATTATAAATATTCTTGTAGAAAGTAAGCGTCAGTAAGTGGCCTTTCAAGTACGATTCCGATTTCGTCTTTCTTGTTAACTCAGTTGTAAATCTTTCGTGCTTTGTCCACATTTACGGAAAATTATTAAATCTAATCGCAATATTTTTTCGTTGAGAATAGTTATGATAGTTGCATTAAATAAGTAGTTGTATTGAATAAAATATCGTTCTAACAAAATTCTTTTTATGATTTTTAAAAAATTTATCTTTAAATACATTCTTGCAACAATAAATATTTAACTAAAGCTACTGAGAGCTACAGCGCGGTAATCAGAGCGCAAATTACTGTAAAAAAACATACTTTAAAATTAATAATTTATTTGAATATTTTATCTTGAAGATGAGTTTAAAATAAAATAACTCGGAAAAGTTCGGATAAATTATTAATTAACGAGTTGTAAAAAACGATTCGTTACTTTTTAACTAACTGTACCTGTAACTTTTTAGAATTGGTAATTTGTAACGGTAACTAATTATTTTTTGAAAAAAGTTGTAACTGTAATTAGTTACTTTTATAAAGTAACTTTCTCATTCCTGCCTATCAAAGGCAGGCTTCATTAAAGAGGAATGATATGCTGAATTCACACTTCATTTTAAATTAATTTGTTTATAATTACTACATGCAATGATATTGAAAACATCAAATTGTATAGAATGTAACAGATAAAGATATAGTCTATATTCTTTTGATTGTGTAAGTATGAGTATCCGGCTAACCGGTTTGTCATCTTAAAATCTTTCCGATATCTATCATTTCATCGAGATCTTACCATTGTACACAATTACGTTCACATAGCTGAATCATCCTTATCGCATGCTATTCAGTTATTAACTGAAATTGTTTTAAGGGGATAATAGATATCAAAATGTCAGCATTATTCAGCGTTTTGATTTGGTAGAGGTATTATCTGATGACACGTGACAATTAAATATAGGTGCTTGAATTATACTATTATATTTAAATCATGTTATTAATTAAGACAGAAAGTAGAGGTTCTTTCGACGAAATCATGAAATTAATTTGTTATTTTAATTATGAGTGAATTTTTTTTAAAGTAATTTTTTAAAATTTATTTTAATCCCTTTTCATTTTTAATGTATTATAATGTAAGTTGAATAATAGTGACTACTTACATCCAAGTTCATCGAAAAATCTCATCTGTCCGTGCGAATCGATCGCATTTTCGATATTTTCTTCTTTCTCTGGCTGACCTAAAAAAAAAATACGATCAAATTTCTCCTCTAGTAAATCATTTTTAACGATATCAAAAAATGTCATTATCTATTTACCAAACTTTCTCAGAAATCGGTTGTTCCTTCTTTTATTAGCGAGACAGCTTGTATCGGCGATCAGAAGTAGCGAGATAAGCGCTCCGGCTTTGAGAACAGTCATTTCTCTCTTCGGCCGTCAGTGATGATCGTGCGATTCACTGTCATTCGCTAAACATGTTCACGACGTCGTCATGAATTTTTCTTAATCTGACGCCGTATCATTTTGTCACGTTCCTCATGATTTCACTTTGAAATCCGTCTCGTCAGCAGTTCTATTAAAAGTCCAAAAAGATTCCTGGATGTGCTTTTTTTATTTTACACGCTTTTTCGAGCTGCGTGAGTCGCTTGCAATTGAATGTGGTAAAATTTGTTTGCGAATTGTTAAAGCTCTCACACTTTACACTCGCGGACACTCCATTTAATCGAACAACTACGAAGAGTTCAAAGGGGACTTGATGATACGAATCTCGCTGGAAAGTGTTAATTGCTGAAACTGTAAAAGACCCTGTCTTTTAAAACATGATCGTATATGATTTCGACAGATTTAAAAAAAAATATTTTTGCGACAATTTTTCTAGCACATTATATTATACCCGTATCATTATTTATTTCATTAAAAATTTATTTATACCATGACAATGTTATTTCGAGCTGAGAATCGATGAATTCGGTTATTTGCGTTACATTAGATTAGTACATACACTGAGAAAAAAAAGTTGCTGTTTCAACAAAATATTAGTTGATTCAACTAAATGTAGCGGTCAGGGACTGTCAAGCAAATATTTGTTAATTCAACCAAATATTTGTTAATTCAAACAAATAATATATTTTAAATTACAAGATTTTGTTAATCTAAATATATAAATATTTGAACTAAATAATCATTACGAACTAAACGCATTTAGTTAAGTTAACAACTTTTTTTTCAGTGTACTAATTTGCTGTGTATCAAATTAGCAAAGTTAATGTTAAAATATATAAATATTTTAAACGATTACATATTTAATAATGACATTATCACGATATTTAACAGAATATATGTGTTATTTCTTTGTCAAAATTAATTATATTATGCATTAGATGCTTTATATGAAGCAGTACTTTTAATATGTACTAATCCAATGTAATATGAGTGACCGAAGGGGTTAACATGGAATATGATGTAGCTCGGAATTTCGTAATTCTATCATCTTTTGGCTCAAAATATTCCTTTTAGATTACTTATCAAATTTAAGGATTTTAAGCTCGAAAATCAATAATATGCGAGTCTCGCTTTCGCTTTTAATGATTTCTGTAATTACGCGTGGCCCCGTAACGAACAAGTTGCATGCTGATTAAACTAATTATAATGCAAATCATGCAAGTATATTTTGATGTTGTTATGTGCCATGTCAAAGGGTTGATCGCATAGACGTTCTGGTTTCCCCGTCGATCTCGGAGCCTTTGTCCACATTCTCGATCAGTTCCTTCACCGGCACATCGTGAACGAATTCACGTAGCGTGTCCAAAGACGTTCACGTACAGTCTGGTACAAAAGTGGGACACGAAACCAGGCCACTGAGACAAGTGGCACGCCTTTTAGCTCCGCAACGTTCAGCCGGTTTACATGTGAGACCATGTCCGCGTGGCGACGTACTCTTCTCCTCCTCCTTTCCCCTCTCTTTTGGTTATTAGTGAAAGTTAGCCGGTAACTTTCGACTTTGACAACGACAACGATTCGTGAGGAATGCAGAGTGAAGAATCATCGGGTTCTTGGAGCACTTGGGCTCAATTCCACAGCTCACGATTAATTCTTAACCGAGGTTCAACTTATTCCTCATCTCTTTCCAATTCTTAAACAATTGGAAAGGGAAATAAGCTGAATCTCGGTTAAGAATTATAATCGTGAGATATGGAACTGGGCCTATATCGTATTTAAGAACATTATTTTGAAGAGGTGTATTCCAATTCTCCATAAATATTAAACACTTTATACGAAAGATTGATAAAAATTTATAAATGAACGGTTGATATGATAGATATGTTTCTTTTTCTAAAAATTAGTCCATTTAACTTTCTATCTTGTTAGTATTTAAGCCTCATGATTATAAAAATGATTGAATTCATAGAAAAATCTACTTTTCCATAGAAGTATCGCGGAAATAAATTATGCTCGTGCGACAGTTCTATTTCGTGAAATACATAGAAGCTTTACTCTAGAACGAACTTCGATTGTTTCATTTAGATAGTATGCGGCGAATTGAAGACGAAGGAATTTTGAAATATCACTTTCAACCACCGTGTTGTAAGTTACGAGTTAAAACCCGTACACGAGCACACTATTGTTTTTGATTGCTCGACTTTCTTTGCGCTTCTTCTGTATTAAGTAAAGTAAAAAATAAACAAGTGGGATCATGTGCATGTCTGACACACATTCGTGTAATTTAAATGTATCCTGTTAATTGATATGCTTTCACAATTAGTCTGCTGCTGTTTAACACTTTTTTTCAGATTTTAGATATATTATTCAGTAAAATATATATTTATATATAATATATAATTATATTACTTATTTGTTACAACAACGACACAAGTCGAAGAACGAGAATTTTTCAGAAAATAAATTTGAATATTTAAATCATTAAAATTTTAATTTTGAAATACAATTTTGATGTAATAACTGATTGTAGAAGAATAAAAGTATATACTTTTAAATGTTTTTTTTTGTTTTCATTCTTTTTGCTAGCAACCAAAAAATTATAATTTTTTGTTATGTCATTGTATGTCAAATAATATGTTATATGTAAATATATGTGTATATATAATGGATATATTTATTTAGATAAGTAATGGAAAATTGGATATACTTATTTAGATAAATAATATATTCAGAAGATATATTATTTAATTTATATAGATATATTATTTAAATCATTCAAGCGTAAAACTGTAAATTCTTGGTCGACCACTGTTCCAAAAAGAGAAAAATTGTAGCGAGAATACATGTTCGTGGAAGGCATTAATTGATATCGAGGAATTAGAGATGAATGCTTTTACAAACGAGCGAGCAAGTACATTGTTACGACGATTTCTGTATGTGTCGCAGCGATGGTATCGATAGTCACGTTCTAAAGAATCGAAAGCACGTGCAACGATCCGATTCGACAGTCTCACCTGGATTTTTATCAAGATCAAGGTTGAAGGCAAGTTTGAAATCTTGTCCATGGATCACGATATGACATTCGCAAGAGAGATGCGAAAGTGCGAAAGTCATACTTTTTTCAATGGATTATCGTTTATCGTTTGTCACGGTTAAACCGATAACCATTAGCGTTATTTATTATAAATATTAGAGAAGGCAATAGAAATAATAAATCTATTCGTGTTACTTGCACTTTTTACACTAAGAATCTCCGTTTTCTCTCTCGCTCAACTATACATTTATTTCATTTTAAGCGCAAATTTTTTTGGGGATTTCAAGTAACACAAAGAAATCATATAAATGTAGATATATTAAATATTTTTGATCTATAAAGAAACTTAAAAAATTGAAGATTAAATTAAATATCAGTAAAGTTATAATTCAGCATTAATTAATAAAGCTTTAAAAATTTTTATTTTTAGAAAGTGAACATTAATTTGCAATTTATTAACAAAAAATAAAATAGATTGTAATTCAGTATCTTTTCTATCTTCGTATTCCTACCTTTTTAAAAATACAATCTTATCGATATTATACAATTATACACACTTGCGCTTGAAGATCCGATCACTTTGCGGAAATACACATTTTCGGGCCTTTCGGGATAAATTCATGAACGTGTCTTTGTTAATTCGAGGTAGTTGTAATGTTAATTCGAAATTTCTGAGAGATTCGCGCGGTAGAACTCATATACCACGGTTTGTGGTCACGTTCGACGGGCCAATGAATAGAGCACCGCGACACGCGGTTAACTACTGATGAGGAACAGAAATATCAGCATCTGAGACCACTCTCTTTGGCCTGCTCTCACTCTCCCAAGGCGCCCAAAGCGTTCCTTTTCTATCTAGCCAGTGAAATTACGACGAAGTGTAATGAGAGTCTTTTACATCCGTTCCTTTCGGATAAAAAGCGTTCGACGGAACTCATCACTTTCTAACCAGATCTTTTTTCTCATTGTTTTTTTACTTAGCATATTAACAAGTTTTTATGTGCTTTTCTTTTATAATTAATGTCTTTTTAATCGTAAATTATTTAATCGTAAATTTATTTAATTTAATATGTTTGTTTAATTGAAAATTAAATATTTAATTTTTCCTATTTCTTTCTGTTTGATGGTTTTATTTCTGAATTGTGAACATTTGAAATTTAATTTGTTCTTTTATATTTTATTTTTGTATTTCTAAAAAATCACTGTGTGTTTCATAAATTACGATTGTAATTTTAATTACCCATTCTTACGCATTTGACATGGATCTATTCTTAGCAAGACGCTAATTATGGTAATATATGTAAACTACACCACTTGTTGTTCGATTCACTATCCGAAAGCTTAGTAATCCCGAAACTTACTTTCATAGAGAGCCCACAATTGCGAAGGACAATCTGTTTTTTTCCATGCGAAATTTCATTTTCATTGAAATGTTGTTGCATAGAAATTATTTTTTATAGAGACACGACGATACGCAGTTTTCTGTAACTACTCATTTACGCGGCGAGTAATTATAACGGTTTTGCGAAAATGACAAACGGAAGGAAAATTTCTTTTTCAGATATCTGGATACTCCATTAGTTTTATTTTTATCTACGAGTAACAATAAGATACACATATAACTAAATATGTCTATCTAGTAGATAGAATCTACGTGGTAGAATTAAATATAAGTAAATATATAGAAATAAAGATCAAATCTTTATAAATTTTTGATATATTTTATTGAGTCGAGTTTTCATTAAATTATATAATAATTTGTATTATGTAATTTTTTAATAATTTATGCTAGTATTGTAAATACCAAAAAGTTTTCATATTGATATATCGCTATCCAACGCAGAAGATACATTTACCTATATTTTTTTCATTACTTTCAAATATAGTTTTAAAGGATCGGAAAAAACCCAATTTTTCCGCGGATTTTTTCGGTTTTTTCCCAAAGGTAGAAAAATTCATTTTGGAAAAATTCACGCGTGCTCGTAAAACCTACCACGTTTGTTTCTCAGTTCTTTCCGTAAAGAAAATAATTGCGTATAAGGTACACAGCGGGATAAGTTATAGAAATTTTGAAATTGTATAAAAGATTGAGGTCGCACAATGTATTCAATAAAACATACAAAACATACACTATTGCATCGTTAATGTAAGAATTAAAAATATAGAGTCCAAACATCATGTTTATATGATAATAGTAGGTCTAGAAAATAATTTAGATTTAAACTGAATTCGTAACAAAATATTTGAAAAAAAAAAATAGACTACAGAGAAGGTTAGATTAGGTTTTATTATAAAAATAGAAGAGGGGGATAACTAAAAAATAATGTAATAAAAATAATGCTACATAATATATTTCATAGATCGCATTAATTTTATAAAGGAATTTAGAAGTTACTTATTATGTCTTACATAGCAAAAACAGCAATTTTTCCGGTTTTTTTCCAGCAATTTGAAAAAAGCGGCTTTTTTAAAACTATACTTTCAAACCAGCCATCGTAATTTGCTGTATAATAACATGATATAATGAATAATGAAACGTCATGCATAAATTTGAAGTCATTGCCAAGGCACATCACTCTGTGCCATTACTATGCTATTTCTGTGTCATTTACGCAATTACCTCACGGTCTTTTACCCATATTTACATTCCGCATATGCCTGCGGCTTAGAATAGAATGGTTGACGTGAATGACCAGCGAATGATTTTTTATCGAGATAATAAAAAAATCTTACATTCATTTTTCGTAAATATTTAAAAATATAATACATTCTCGAATTTTGTGATGGCCAATATAAAATTTTAAAGAACTCGCACTTATTATTTATGTTTAATATCACGTTATAATTATTAATTAAGAAAACAATAATTACAGAACTCGTGATGTTGAAATAAAAATATTAATTTACGCACTGAATACAATACCGCAGTCTCATCAGCCTATTTTGTTTGTAATTTTTATTATAATTATCAATTAAATAATTTTATGAAAAATTTATCAGTACATAATATGTGTATCTTGAGTGTTAAAAAATGATATAAAGACAAAAAAAGAGTAAAAGAAAACTAGAGGTAAGGAAATGTTGGAGCATTTTTTATCTTACTTTAACAGAGTATAATACCGGCTACAGTCGTCTCTAAATTCTCTTTTATCTTATACAAGATGTCAGCACGCGTTGTGGTAACAGCGATAGAGTGTGATATGGTATAGAGTGGAGGTGGAGTAGTGTGCCAACATGGCTACAGCTGACGCAGATGAGTGCGGGCGAAGTACTAAGGCTGCGTTTTGTTGTTCATTGCAAGTACTGAAAGTCTAGTATACATAACATGAACTATAGATTTTCAATACTCGCAGTGAATAACGAAACGCATTCCTTTAATGCTGCGATTGATTAAATCCGGTGTATTTGCAAAAATAATTTTGTTTGTTGTTTCAAGATTGAGAAATTCAATCTATTTGTTAAGGAGAATGTAACTTGAGAATGTACTACGTCGTGACAGGAATAGCCGTAAACAGGAGTTAATCACGTTTATTCTGCAGATATTATTGTGTATATTTTTATATTTCATCGTTTTGAGTGAAAAAAATCTGGAACCAGTGTTCAGAATATATTTACAATGACCGACTCAGAGAAACTCTTCGCTTGCTCCACATCCGGTTGCAATATGGTATGAGATAACTATTGTCTTTTTTACTGAAAAAAAGTAATTTATTTCGAGGTTACAAAAACCTTAAAGAACTATAATAATGTAAGAAATAATAGAATTATTTTTTATTTATAGAGCTTTACAAACGAGGATCAATTAACAGTGCACAAAAAGAAACATGACATGATGCTAAATCTTAACAATAACTCTAAGAGTGCTGGATTTGTTGGTAAGATATCACGTGAACAATTTGATTCATTTATGTGTCAAAGATAGAAATGTGCTGAAAGATTGATCAATATTTGTAGCAGATCAAACTCCAACACCAACAAGGTTTTTGAAGAATTGTGAGGAAGTGGGTTTATTCCAAGATCTGCAAAACGTAGTCAATCCTTTTGAAGAGACGTTTCGAAGGGCCGTTGAGGCTGGAAATACTGGCACGCTTATAGTATCAGAGGTAAGACAAGAAAATCACACATATATTGACTCAAATAATTAATAAAATTCATAAAGTAATATTTATTTATAAGTACATTACTTTTATAAAAGATATCATTCAACATTGGTTCACTTTTTCATATAGGTTGGAATAACGGATGATACGCTGCATACCCCTCATATTTTTCCCTATATATCAGATGTATTGCCTGCAAATAGTCAAATTCTTTCCGAAGACAACGTCGAAGTCCCTCTTGCCGAAAAAGATGAAGAGCAGGAAAGCGCTATAAAGACTGATGAATGTAACAGTATTAAATTAAGTACAAACGAGACGCAGGAACTGATGAAAGATTCGACTGTCACGTCTGCGAAAGGTGATACTCTCCCAGCGGATATTATTGCTTCAAATACAAATATACCTATAGCGCCTAAGCTTTCACCGACACAACCTACGTCTCACTTGTAAGAATGCCCCGTTTATTGTTATAAAATTACTCCGTGCATTTCATCGTAATAAGCCTTAATTTCTCTTATTTCGTTTGTATTACTTAAATATTTTCCATAATGATATAATTTACACATTAATTCTTTAATTTTAGAGTTATTTTTAGATATAATAATCAATCAAGCTTTTGTTGTTGGATGTTTTTGTGCAAGATAATTAATACGTGCTTCTTTAATATAAAAATATTTGCAGCTACTATACAATGTACGATGAAATCCTATATATCCTATATATATTATTGATAGATTTAGAATATCTTTTTTTTTGCTAAGGTCTATCAATGGTGAAGAAGTGCAGTTGTTACTGAAAACCGCAGATGGTAAATTAATGCAATTGTGTGCGACACCGGTATCGGAGCCTTCTAACATATCGAATGTTAATACTGAACAGCAAACCGTTATTATCAAAACTGAACCAGCTCTACGGTGCGCAATGAAATTGGAGTCCAAGAAAGCCGTGATTTCAAGATTATCATTAGCAAAAATGGTAACATCTGATTACGTCGATAATTTACGTTTCAAGATAAATTTTTAAAAATACCGTTACAGAAGCTGAAACAATCCCTGTCTAAGAACGCGCAGAATCAAAAAGCGACTGAAGACTGTGCGAAAACGGATGTGACTGTCGCTGAAAAAAAGGAGGGAATCAAGAAAACGATCGATCAGCTTAAGAAAAAAGACATTCTTGAGCGCAATCGTGCCAGTTCTATGCGTGCAAGGGCCAAAAGAAAAGAGTGGATTCAAGAACTCCAAAGAACAGTAACTAATGTAAACGAGGCGAACACAGCCTTGCAGATGGAGGTGAAAACTTTACGCAAGGAAGTTGCGAGATTGAAAGCTCTTTTGTTGACTCATAAAGATTGTCCGGTCACAAAGGCGATGCAAAAAGGCAAGTTATTAATTTGGACGTTTATTAATTATGTGCTCAACATCATGAATATTAATACTTTACATTCGCAAGTTTATTTTATTTTCTAAATGTCTCGCTTTTATAGGTAATAATGTTCTGCTGTGTAATCTGATTAAAAAAGATTGAAGTGATCCACTGTCGCGTTTTAATATTTTGTTTTTGTTTTGACATACAGAAAGAATATTCTTAGTCAATAATTTTGTTGCAATTGATTTTTTGAATTTTATAGGAATAGTCCTTGGACCTAAGATAA